TAACCAGACGCCTGTGTCTTTCACTCCCTGACAGCAGCCTTCATAAAACAGAACAAGCAGAGCAGGAAGTAAACCTCAAACTATCGTTTTGTGAAAACTACATGTTGGATTGAAAATAGAGACAGAAGCGTCCAATCCTCAGAAACGTTCATTTTTTACGTTTCAACAATGTTTTATGTAAGGAATATAAGTTAAAGCACTAACTTACAGTTTTGAAAAGAAAAGTTTGAGTTTAGATACAATAGAAGTCAATGAGTGTTTGGGTGAGTGACCTTTGACCTCTGGTGGGATTTAGGAGAAAACCACAAGCAGTGAGACACACTTGGTGAGAGAAAATACATTTAGATGGATTTGTTGTGCATAAAATACACCGTGTAAAGTTTAGACAGCTGAAAACTTTGTGTGACATCATCAAACTCGAGGGTGACTGTGTGGTCAAACCTCCATGTTCAGCTGGGATTGTGTAAAAAGTGTTAAAGATGTGAAAACAGCAGCTCAGTCGGGGAGAGTCCAACTTTCTGCGACCCGCTGAAACTCTGAATGATGGTTCTGCTGTCGAGATCCAAACAGGACTCACTTCACATAAACACAAAGGATGTCAATGAAAACATTTTGGACTAAGTTTAGCAAATATTGTCGACGCCGTTCGACGTTCTGACACCAAAAGTCAGAACGCACGACTTCGAATCCAGACTCGTGTTTAGAGGGACTTCTTGAACGTGAGCTCAAGACAAAAAGGAAAAGCTTCACGGCTGAATATTAATGGCGTGTCATTGTGTGAGCAGCTAAAGAGTTCAGCAGCAGAAGCAGCTGATGGATGAAAACATCCATTGCAGCGTAAGCGATGCCTTCCAGGACTCGGAGGCTGATGGGAGCGATGCGGAGCAGGAATGCGAGGCCTCGGGCCGTAAATAAACTCATAAATTCATTAGTGAACGCAGGATGATTTGGAAGAATGAACACGATCGCTGCGATAAACCAGCTGACCCCGTCAGCTTGGCAGCTGTCATGACCTCAGCCTGTCACGGTATCAGATGTGTGTGTGTGGGGGGTTCAGGGACAATATTTGTTTAAGCTGATAACTCTGGGTTGTAGTGTGTGTGTGTGTGTGTGTGTGTGTGGTTTTGTGTGACTTTGGAAGTGCATGCAAACTAGTCTGCATCGTGCTGAACAATAAATTTGTACCTTTTTGTTATTAGTACTCCTGCTCTCACACACCTTTATGTGATTGCAGTAACAGTGTGTGTGTGTGTGTGTGTGTGTGTGTGCGCTGCCTTCAACAGCAGCATGCTTAATGGCCTGCAGCTCAAGCTAGACGCCATTAACATTCCAGCTGTGGAGATGTTGGCATGCATTGGGAAGCATGACAAGACAGCTACACCCCCACCCCGCCCAACACACACATACACACATGCACGCACACACACCACCCAGCTTCCAGCACAGAATGTCATTTACTTAAAGAACTATAAGCTCCAGTGAGAAGATTAAAAACAAACGACGACGGTTTCACGTCTTTTCTCTTCTTGTCTGTTTCTGTCAGTCAGTCAACCATAATTAGGTGCTGTCTCTCTGGGCTGCCACTTGTTGATGGATGACATTCACATGGGAGTCTCCAGGATGTCTCCCAGCGTCTACGAGGCGTCTTACTTTGCTCGCGCGAGTCACATGACTTAAACATGTTCGGGACAGATTTGAGATTTGCTCTGAGAATAGTCACAAACTTGTCTGAGGCTACAGCCCCAAATATCAAGTTGTGTTTATTTGTCATATGCAAGGTCAACACAAGGTCAACAGCACAATGAAATGCTTAGGATGAGAAGAACTGATATGACTCGCAAAAAAAAAAATAAAGATAATCAAAGAACAAACCAACAAGAAATACTAAAGCATGCAATAAATAAAGTAACAAAAAGTGAAAATTATAATATTTACAACGTCCTAAAGAGCGACAGTAAACAACATGGTAGAATATAACGGTGCAAGTAGGATGAATCTGAATAATATTTCAAGGTAGTAATATAAGCTAAAATGCACATGATATGTAATTAACATAAACTACACAGGTTGTGTGACAGGTTATTGAATTATGATGGCAGATGCACAGATACTGATACAGCCACACAGTGCAGCAGCAATAAATAATAAACATATTAACTGTCACAAGCTAATATTAGTCATATTAGTTCACTCCAATATTTATACAAATAGTTGAGAAACTGGTCCAAACTTGCCCATCTTCATTTCTAAGGTGTCTTCCAGTAGATTCAGTCAGAAAGGTGGGGGCGGCTGCCACAGTGGGTACAAAGAACGTTAAGGTGGATAAAATGTGGGCAACAAAGTCGTGTGCATGCCTATGAATGCAACTTCATAAGCCATGCACACAAAAATAGGCCACGATTCTTCAAATCGAAGCCGGTCTGCTGCAAACATTGAATTCAGAGATGTGACGGAACGCGTGCACGTTTTAGTCTCCTACAGTCGCAGCCCGCTCAGATACGATCTACGCCGACGTGTTTTCTCCACCGTTGTTCTGCCGACTCGTCTGTCGTCCTACAGGTAGAAAGTTTTTGAACACGCGTCCCTCCCTGACTTGCTATTTGCCCCTGCAGGCAAACAAATCTCACTGCGCTCCGTGGCAGATCCAAATAAAAACATTTACAGGCAATCAGCCGGGCAAGCCTCGTGCTGTTGCATAAAGTGTTGTGGCAACTCCAAATGCACTCTGGGAAACGGGAACGTTCTGCAGCGAAGGCTGCATGCATCGGCACACGGTGCACACGAACGCACGCGTGTGCAAAAATATGCAAATCTGCATGCATGCAAACACGCGGCAGCAGACGAGCAGGTCTGTGAGCTGGGCCTCAGCCCGGATGTGATCACAGTTTATCACAAACTCTCCGCCCTGACAAGACGGGGAAAAGATGTTTTATGTTTCGACCCGTGTCGACACAGATTAAAATGTTTATCTGGCAGAAACTTCAGCCCCACCCTTTTGTTTAGGTGAGCCCAAAGCACCCTCCAGCTGAACGCAATAAATAAAGGCCAGCGTTCCTAGAAGGAATGCATATCGCCTGCCGCCTGCCAGGCCAATTTAAACTAGGTGCCTGTATGAACTGACTTCTGAGCAAAAACACTGACAAAGAGCCGAACTCGGAGCAGATGAGAACGACTTTCAGCTACTACCACACCAAAAGTTGGCACGATGTTTTTCTGTTATGACCCGTTTTGAATGGTTTGCTCCAGAAGCTAATGGTTCAATGAACATTTGGCAGCACGATGGCTCAGTGGTTAGTACTGTTGCCTCACAGCAAGAAGGTCCTGGGTTCAATCCCTAGTTGGACCTGGGGTCTTTCTGTGTGGAGTTTGCATGTTCTTCTTGTGCTTGCGTGGGTTTTTCCGGGTACTCCGGTTTCCTCCCACAGACCTAAAACATGCATGTTAGGCTGCCTTCAGGCCTCCCTGAGACCTCAATGGGATTTGCCTGGTTAAATAAAGGTTAATAATTAATGCAGTAGGGTATAAGATATTTTGCTAACAGACACACGAACCAAGGAACAAGAGCACGGCACAAAAAATAATTTAAAGTGGCCCAAAAAAATTACAGAAAACATTTTATTTTACATAAACTGTACAGATGACTTTTATTTGACTAAATGATTCATAAGAAACTAGAAATAACTTTCTCCTTAAATAAAAACGGAAACAAATCAAATGAAGGTGAGAAGGAAGTGTCGCCCGTTGTACAAAACAGAATGAAAACAGGTGAGAAATGAAAGTCATGCAGTTTATTGTACCCTGATAGATCGCTCGGCCGTTTACAAACCATCAAAAACAGATTTCTTAATTTCTTTCTTTTTTTTTTTTTAACACGGTAACTTTAATGGCCTTGCCATCTCAGTTCTACAGCTAAAATCATGGCCTCTTTGGTTCCATTAATTATGTAAAATACATCTGAGACATAATTTGATTTATCTATATAAAAATAACTTTTCAATGGCAGTTTCTGTTCCGCTAATCCCACAGCTTTTCAGTGCAAACATCACAACGATCCGTCGCTTTGGAGAGGAAGCGAAAGATCACATTTCAAGTATTTCTTTAAACAGTTGAGGACTGAAGAGATGAGAGAGGACAGAGAGGATTCAGTCGAACGGAGCGCATCAAGTTGGGGTACAGGGTTTTATACATTGCATAGCTCATGTGGCACTTCTGAACAATCTGACAGGACACTCAGGAGCCCTCGCAAGGCATTTCTTTTATTTTTACAAGTGCTATTCAGGGTGTGCGTTTCAGTTTCTGCAAGTGCTGCACTGCACCGCGGAGACCCGCCCGGGCCCCAAACTCCAGTTTGGACGGCCCAGAGCTGACAGCAGCAGGACTTTGTTTTGCTGCTGCGGAGGATTTAATCCATCAACTGGGATTATCAAACCAGACCAAACGTCCCCCAACATCCCCCGTCATTAGGAATCAAAAACAGCAGGTTCACTGCAGCTGCCATGTTGACGCTTTGGATCCAAAGTCTGCACACAGTTATTCAAATTGCTCTTATAACTTTTTTTCTTTTTTTCATTCAGCTTTTATTTATACAAGTTAATCCCATTGAGCCTCGGGGACTCATTTACAAGAGGGAGCTGAACTAATGTAACTAATTACATTTAGTTACTTTTTAATTACTTTTCTAAATTTTGACTCTTTCGATTGTCCCTCAGTCAAATGCTATTTAAAAACCTTCAAACATAAAATATCATATTTATTTTATATATTATATAAAATATTATTATTATTAGACTGTATTGCTGCAATTTTAGTCTCCCCCCATGCTCTGAGGGGGGGCTGCAGGTCATTAAAGACAATATTGTTGTGGAAGAGATATAAAACAGCAACAAAATAAATAGGAATCAAGAATAAACCAAATGTTTTCACAGAAGATGTAACACAAAATGCAATAATTGAAGTTTTAAATTTCATCTTATTTTAATTTTAATTATATTACTTTTCTCTCACCATAATTACAGATATGCAATTTGTTTTCAAAGTGAAAATAAAGAGTAAATGTAGGACGTGCGACTCCCCAGCCCTGTTTATAAATACAAACAGGACCGGAAGCTGGAAGTTGAAGCCACACAGTACAATATTTAAGCCCCGCCCCTTCCATGTAAATGAATCGGACATTTTATTGATTAAAAAAACAAAAGTGCACTTCAGATACTTTTGTTCAGGTGTTATTTTTGGTTGTTTGAAGTAGTTCTTACATTTGTGTTGTTTATTCAAAATAATTCTACAAATGTTTAGGTTGAATTAGTTTTTTGAGGCTTAAAGAAAGTGCCATGTTACACTGTGACTGACAGCCTGTGTTGGGAGGGTGTGGCGGTGGGACCTTTGTACCGCCTCACGTCTCAAGTGCACAAACTCTGGCTCCAAAAGCACAACGTGGTGCCACCCCTAAACAACCGGACCGTTTGCCTTCAATTCTAAACCACAGGAGGAGGCAGAGACGCTTCGGCCATCTTTGTTGTCGATGGCGGGGCACTGCACCCGCTCTGGCTTCCTGTTTGGAGTCCAGTATTTCCTTTCAGGTCGATGCTTTGATCCTGCAGGACCAGTCTGATTCCCCCAGAGAGGACAGTCAGAATGCTTCTGTCTGCATAGAGAGAAAGTGCTGGTGTTCTGAGTTGTAGAAGCAGATGAATTGTCAGTGCTTTAGAAAAACAAAGTCTCTTATGTGCTTTAAGTACTTCAGAGGGTTAGAGAAGGGTGGTTCTGATGCCAATCCTGTTATTGGCTCATATTGTCATTGTCTTTAAGCGCTTTTTTCATTTAAAAAATCTTCATTTCTGAGGAGATAACGGGCCATTATTTTTGACTAGAAATGGCAAACTAGAGCAAAAGTATCATTTGGTGATCGTCGCTCCCTTCTCGTCCCGTCGCTGACCGGCTGAACACTCGGACCGATAAATACACACACTTGCACCGACACATACACACGTGTTTACGGCTCTGGGCCGGTGCGGTATGAGGTGCACATACAGATATATGCTGAATATGTGTACCATTTGAAAAGAGTCTGGTGTATTCTGGTCCGGCGGACTCAGGCGCAGCCGCACTCCTCTACGATCATGTTGGGCACGTCCCTCTTGACGATGTTGTACTCGTCGTCGAAGTAGAGCATGGACATGGTGCTGAGCTTGGTTGGGATGCAGCAGGAGTTCACGGAGCCGGGACTCATCCCCCTCATGCGGTACTGGTTAACCACAGCAGTGTGGAAGGATGACGCCGATCCCGGGACACCTGCCATGTAGGCTGGACAGCTGCCCTCGCAGTAGTTGCCATAGTAACCGGCCGGGGCAATGATCCAGTCGTTCCAGCCGATCAGGCGGAAGTCAATGTAGAACTGCTGCCGGCAACACAAGCCCCCGCTGGTGCCATCGCACTCCAGACCTCGTTTACGAATGCGGTGCTTTCCGTCCACCTGCCGCGCACGCACCACCAGGAAGGGTCGGTGGGACGGGTCGCCTGGGTCCACCAGGACCGGAGCCACGCCGGCCGTCTCGCAGCCCTCGCAGCGGACCTCCAGGTCCTGCCTCCGGCTGCCCTTCCCAAACACGGCGCGCACCGCCTCCGAGAAGGGGAACGTGTGCCAGCCGCTGCGCTTCAGATCCACCCGCTTCTCCACCAGCGCCCAGTGGGCTGTCCCTCCTCCGCCGCCTCCCGGACCTCCCTCAGCACCACCTAGTGCGCTGGCCTCCCGGTAGTGGATCTTGACTGTGATCTTCCTCCTGAGACCCTTCTCTGGACCCACTGGCAGCAGACGGAAGTACAGCCAGAGGTTGGCCTGGGACACAAACAGGTTCTGGTGGCCTTCGTTGGAGATGAGGAAGTACATACCAGATTTGGGGTTTGTGTGTTTGTCTGTTGGAAACAAGAAGAACAGAGAAAAGTCTTATTCACACAACAACCTCAACTGTGCACAGGTTATGCATCCAAAGAAAGAAAGAACCAAACTGTAAGGATAAAAAATAATCAACTTTGAGACCGTATTTACTGCTTGACACCATGAAAGAGGGCAATCATGTAATCACCTTTATCTCTGCATGTTTGTTAGCACAATATCTCAAAGTAAATCATTGGCCGTTCATCTTCAAATGAGGCCACAGCAGCAAATATAAAAATGAGACTCGAGTCAGTTTTATAGATGTTGAGGTAAAACCTGGTGTGGTAGTAGATGAGAGTCATCCCTAGCACATGTTCCAACAAGATCTTAAACATTTGCCATACTAGGTGGTGGGAGATATTCAATTCACGTCAGTTTAGTTATACAGCACCAAGTCCCAACAGAAGTTGTCTCAGGACACGGAACAGAAACATTCACATACATTAAAAAAAAAATCAAATTAGTAAAGTTATATCTCTAATCCCATTCTGAGCAAGCCCAAAGGAGACAGTGGAAAGGAAAAACTCCCTTTTAACAGGAAGAAACCTTTAGCAGAACTGAGCTCAGGACAAGTGGCCGTCTTTGCTTCGACCGGCTGAGTTTGAGAGGACAAAGGTTACTCTCTTCTATGAAATCTACTTTTTTCTAATCCAGGGCAGAATGTAACGTCGACCTGGATGTGTCCAAGGCAAGTGGTCCAAATGTCTCCTCAGTCACGTTTGTTCCAAAGACAGACCAAATTTCTTAGTGGGCTCTCTTTGGAAGAAGGGTCAGAATCTTATAGCTGATCATCTGAAGAGCCTGAGAACTAAACTGACAGCCTCCTCTGGTGAAACCAGCGAGCTCAAACCGAACGTTTCACTCAGGATACTTGTGCAGACACAGAAAACAGAAAGTCCAAAGAAGGACACGGCTTTGTCCTTAAAGATTAGTTTTCCCTGCTTGCTCTCGGTCACTGCGTCAGGTGACCTCTGCGGCAGCTTCTGATAGGCCAGCTGTGACCAGCCTGGTTCTGGGATCAGGCCCAGTTGGCTTCAAGTCCGGTGCTGGAAGTGGCAAGTCCAGAAAACAGAAGGAGGGGAACAGCGGGGGGGACGGTGGGAGTGTGGTGGACGCGGCCAGGGCCGGCAGGGGGTTCATTGGGTTCACTGTCAGCAGCCAACCTGAACACCTACCCGTCTCTGCGTGGGGTGCAGCGGGAGCACCCTGAGAGTGACAGCACAAAGCCCCCCCATGAGGCGCCGGGGGACAGCCGCGCCGCAGCACGCCATTCAAACGCGTGGCTTTCCAGCAGAAAGCACCGGGAGGCAAAAATAAGAGGCATTTACATGATACTGGCCACTTTCTGCAGCCGCACAATGAAGAGATCCCGGCTGTCTAAAGGTGGAGCTGGCCTGCCCCCCCCACCCCCGGCACCGTTTTCTTTTTTTCTTTTCTTCAGAAGCATAATGATGGCTCCCAAATTACCCAGAGGTAACATGAAAAAGGTTTCTATTTCAGAAGGTTTGGTACAATGTGCTCAAGCAGCGCCTTTGAAAGTGGTTAAATGACTTTGTTTGCTGACTGATTAGTGTGTGTCAGTGTCAACAGGTGGCCACCAAAGATGGACCCCCCCTCTCTTTACGGTGCCTCTTCCTCCTGTAAACGGCAGCTTTACATTCACACCGAGGCCTGTTCCAACCAGCTCGGACCTCAAACACTCACTGCAAACCTACATGACACATGTCATCCTGAAGGACAATGCAGAGGTGGAACACGCCGAGCTGAAGCTGGAGTCAACAGAAAAGAATCAGCTGAAGTGCAGCTCTCACCTGTAAACGCCCCTCAGGGCTACAAGTAACTAACCTCACCTCTTTCAGTGCTGCACCTTCCTACGTGCCTCAACAGCTCCGAGCTGAGAGAAACGGGCCGCGAACGGGGAGAGGAGCGAGGTGTCGGCGGGAAAGCCGTGCAGGGAGGGAGGCCCTGCAGAGGAAGCTCAGCTGTTTCATCTGACCCAAATCATCTCACAATTAAAAACAGAAAAGTTCATGCTCAATCATACAGGTACAAAATCCAATCATGGTCAATCAGGTCATCTGGACAGTTTCTTTTTTTATGGAAAGACAGAAAAAAAGTGTCCAGATGACCTGATTGACCATTATTGGATTTTGTACCTGGATGATTGAGCATGAACTTTGATGTCTTGAACCACTTTGGCTGTGGCTGCCTGCCTGGGAGAAGTCGACAGGGGACAGGACAGCTCCCAGAAACCATCTTATCACCAGCAAACTGGTTGGTCCACTAAAGGAGTGTACTGCTTAGTGGGGAAAACGGTTTACTTGGGACTCCTCAGACTGATGAAGCCCTCCAGATTGACGGTGAAACATCGCTACGAAAAAAGAAACTGTCCAGATGACCTGATTGACCGTTATTGAATTAAAGACAGTATTCCTTGAAGGAATCAATCTTGAACTGGATATAAAAGATAATCAGTAGTGGTTGTTCATCCAGAGCTCCTGGAAGTTTGTTCATGAGATATTTTGCTAACAGACAGGCTTCCTTCAGGAATTCCAGTTAAATGGTTAAACTGAACTTCAGCATGCATCCAGTTTGTCTCCTTTGATCTGACACTTCTTTTTAATACTTTCATGCTTCGCTACGTTTTTTTCTTCTTCTGAGGTTCTTTGAAGGAATGGATCTCAGAAACAATCTGAAGCTGGCCTCGACACGCCTCGTCTGACAACCCACCCCTCGCCCCCCAGTAGGAACGTTGCTGGTGATTAGGACACCTGGGTGGGCTCGGTGGATGAAGAGCGTGTCTCCACCTGTGCCTCCGAGTCAGAGAGCAGGCCGTGGAAACAGGCGAGGTTGGGCTGGAGGCTCCGGAGCTCATTAGTCAAAGCTGCTGTCGACAACAATATGGGGGGGTGGGGGTGGGGGGGTACAGGGGACTGGGGGGTTCTGGCACAGGGGCACTAAGGCTCCAACATCCCTGAGACCTAAATCCCTTGGCTTTCCAGGAATTAGACAGAGGCCAAGGATTGAGCCTGACCCTGGTGCTGATGAAACTGTATGAGGGTTACAAACGATGAATGATTGATAGGATCAGAAGCTGTGAGGTCCGGCCCGGCCCGGTAACCATAAACCTGCCAACCTGATCCTCTGGACGAACTGTTAACGACCTCCGCGGCGAACTCTGTGCTTAGCTGCAAACAGCTAAAACGATCCTAACCTCTCCGTCGACCCCGTTCCTTTCTTTCCTCGCCTGTGTTCGCCGCTCCGCTCCCGTGGATACGCGACACCGAATCCCTCTGCAAAGACCCCCGTGTGCGTTTCAGGGGACGAGGGTGGAACTGGCATCACCTGCCAGGGGCAAGTTTGGCAGAGACGTTACCTCTGTGCAACCGGAGATAAGCTGAACGGGGCCTCGGCTGAGGGGAAACGGAGGACACGAACGCACCTTTGTGCTCCTCACGGCGTACAAACACCTTTTCTGCATCCATCTCCTCCCCCTCTCGCTGATCCGAAAACAAGGCCCTGCGTCCACAGCAGCTTTCTGGAGAACTTGCTCCCGGCTGGCAGCATTGGATCTGGAGGGGGTGTGTGGGGGGCGGTGAGCCAACTGGCCAGGAGGCAGATGGGGTCTGGGGGAGTCGGGTACAGAGCCAGCTCCATGGTACAATGCCACACAAAGGCTCAAAGGTGTGGAGAAGAATGGAAGAAGAAGAAGAAGGAGCCCAGCGAACCTTCAGAACGACAAAAGCATTCTTTTCAACTCTGCCATACTGGCACACACACACAAATACCCCCCCCCCCCCACCACCACCACACACACCATCAGCATCACCCCCAAAATTCAAGCCCACGGGGACTCAAATGTCTCATGAATTATTCTGAGTAATTTCTTTTGTTTTGCTCGTTTTTTCCTTCCGAGCGCTGACACGATGCGTTCGGAGTAACGCTCTGATAATAATTGCCCGCCTTTTGTTCCCCCTGTCATCGGGCCGCTCAGATCGGTCCCTGTTGGGGGGCAGAACTGTGCCGTCCGCTCAGAAGGATGGTGTCTGTGTGCGCTTCTGGGTCTATTTGGGTGCCTTTAATTGTATGTTTTTATTCCGTTCGACAGTTTGTGTTCTCGTCGCTCCAGCTGACTCTTACTGGATCTGCAGATGATTTTAGGTGTGTGCACGAGCGCGGTGGGTTGGGGGTGGGGGGGAGGAAAGGGTGTTCAGTTTGGATTTCTGAGAATTAGTTAGATACACACTCACAGAGGACGGGATAAAAGGCCAGTTGAGGGACTTTGTTCGCGTTGAAAAAGGGGCTTTATATGTTGGAGCAGTGAGTTGGAGCCCAGCTTTAGTGATGAGATGGATTCAGAGGTTCTTTTTATCCCCGGGGCTGTTCAACTTCAGCTGCATGGGCCGTAAATAAAACGTTCTCTGGGTTTGAAGGCAATAATTATCACCCACTGCCAAAAGGCAAAAACGATTATTTTTAACTGTGTTAGCAAAATATCTCGTGAACCCACCAGATACATTTAAATGAAACGGTCAGGAAATAACTGGTGAAACCTTGACCACCACATCGAATCAACACAAAGCCTCAAGACCACTGGTTCCCAACCTCATTGTGGGTTTGAAATAAATCAAACATTCATAACTGTGTGTGTGTTTTTTAATAAGATACACAAATAAAAACAGATATGATTTGTATAATTGTTTCTAAGGCTGTTGAGATTTTTCCCTTTTTTTTTTTTTTTAATGAGCTTTAAAATGTTTTTGTTTCAACCAGCCTGGGCTCAGCGAGTCCATGGATTGCCAGTTCAGGATCGATCGTTGATCAACTTCAGCAACAAGCAGGCCGCTAATGAAAAGTCCAGGGGTTTGAGGGCAACATGGCAACTCTATCCATCGCCCGTCTTTCCTGCTGTTGGGTTTGGAAAGACACATCTGGACTGTAAGTTTCTCCAGAGCAACGTTTGCTGCGGTCTTGGTCCTGCAGCTCAGATGCTGACAGGAGTACATGCTTACCCATCCATGGCTTCATGTGACGCTCAACATGTGAAACCTGTCTAGTTTGGGATTCTGAAGAAATTTAAAAAGGATTTATTGAGCTGCGCTGGATCAATGCTTCCAAACTATTCAGGTTCTGATCCATTAAATAACAGAACCAGATGCTTCGGAGCCCAACTGGTTTCTAAACAGCCAGAAATACCAGAACTGTTACATTTTATGATAGTTCTGGTAAAAGTGTGTTAGCAGCTGTTTTATATTACATTCCTGTAAATCATTGTAAAAGGCCTCAGTCGTTGTGTGGCCACCCACAGTGGGGTCCTGACCCGGACTTAGGGATCCACCGCCCCAGACAGCACGCGGGTGGTAATTAAAGGAGCCTGTGTTCAGTTTCTTTTTGTTTTCCATCAAACAGGATTTATCTGCAGCCTGTAAGAGGATGAAGATGATGCTGCTTGCTGTGGCTCCTTCATCATCCGAGTCCAAACCCACCGGGACGGATGTGAGGTCATCACCTCACCTGCACACCAGAAAGGTGTCCGAGTCCAGCCACGCGCAGTAAATGCGGGATTATTACCTGATTCTGCGAAGCTGATGATCTCTGAGGTCTCCGCCTGGACCTCGTTGTTGAACGCGGCCTGTCCGTCAAAGTTGGGGATCTCCACGCGCCCGTCCTCCCGCACTTTGCCCGCGTGCAGCCTCCGCAGCGCCGTCACCATGGCAGCCTTCGGGATGGGGTGCGTGATGTTCGGCCTGTCCTTCATCTGCAGCCGGTTCAGGATGTGCCTCTTCACCGCCTCCACAAAGTCAATGTTCACGCGCTCCGCTTGGTCCGGCGTCCTGAGGCCGCACGAGGCGCACGACTCCGGGGGCGAGCTGTGCGCCTCCGCCGCGCTCACCGAGCTGCAGCGCGCGGACACGACGCACGCGACTAAACACGTCAAAGCCAAAGTGTATGAGCTCATGTCTTCAAAGCGTCACACCAAATCAAAAGGAAAGGGTTCTCAGCGCGCGCACTGAGGACATCCACCGGTCCGGTCCAACAGACCCGGTCCCACTCGTCTCAGGTCCGGACAGGAGTCCTGCTCGGACCGGGAGGTTCTAGTCCCGTCACTCCGCTGACCCAACAGAACCTCAGGCAGCGCGCGCTCAGCTCGTACAATCCAAGACAAATCCAAACACAAAGTCCACAGCTGCGGTCCAACAACGCACGCGCCTCGATCAGTTCCGTGCCCGGCGCGCGCAGCGGCGACTGGATGCTCAGCTCTCTGGTGCGCACTTGGAGATGCTCGCGGAGACCCCCTGTCCGTCTTTGGAATCACCACAACAGGGGCTCCGCACACCCGAACTTTTTATACAGCCGAACCACGTGGGGTTCTCCACCCACTGAAGGATTACCAGCGCGCGCCTCCGATCCACGAGAGGACAAGAAGCGCTTTCATCACCTCCGTCCCCGCTTTTAGTCCAACAGGACCCGCGCTGATCCGGTTTACGGGTCCAGCGCACCATAAACCACATGTGAACTCAACGCGGTTCGGTTCGGTCCCAGTCAAAGGTCCAGTCACTGAAACTGGGCTGAAAGCAGGAGGTGCCTCTGAAACATGCACAACTCTGAGCTTTAAACCGCGCGCGTCTCCTGCCGTGCACCTTTGATATTTACGCGCACGAGTCACACAAATATGAGAGAAGGACTGCAGGAGCCGGGGATCGAACCCCCGACCCTCCTCTGATGGCTTGCTAAACAGCGCCATCTAACGGCAGACAAACATAACACAGCTGTTCTTACTGTTGGCGTCACTCTGTTGTTTACTTGTTTTTATTTTTCTGTTTGTTGTTTACTCTCACTAATTCTGCAGACTTTAGCTGTTCCCAGATCAGATGTTCGGCTCATTCAGCTGGAGCTGGGTTCAATTTTAGGATTTTTCAAAAAAATACTTAAAAACTGATTTTTAAATAAATAAACCTCACAATTCTTACAAAAAAATAAATAAATAAAATATTCTTGCTGTATCTCGTTACAATGATAATAAAGCTTATTCTGAAACAAGTAAATAATAAAAAATATATAGTCCTCTTTGAAGTCTGCTTCTTTTCCTGTTGTTGGTTTGATTTCATTTAGCCTTTAGACCAGGGGCTGTTCAACTGGGGGCCCGGGGGCCAAATCAAGCCTGAGCTCAGTTCGGCCCACTGTTCATTTTTATATAAATTTAAATGTTAAATATTAAAACAAACTTACTTGATGAGAATAACTGCTGGATGTCCGGTCCTGGCCTCTTGGCTTTCAGTAACTGTGCCCCCTGAGAAATTTAGTAGAATAGAGATTGTAAAATGTAAAGTGCAGTACAAATAGAATAAATTATTATTGTTCAGCACTATTTTGTTACTTTTAGCTTCAATCTAGCAGGTTCATGTTCTGCTTTAGCTCACCTTTAGCACCTTACAGATGTCTGTCAGCTTCTGTCCTGTCTTTAGCTGTTTTTATCTTCTGAAGCTTTTCACTTTAACCAAGTGTTTTGATAGTATTTAGCTTTTAACAACTCACTGTCAGCGTCCTTAGCAGACTTTAGCAGACATTCAGTGTATTTTTTCCTATAGTATAAAACAATAATAAAAAAAAAACCTTTAAATTGAAAAAGATGAACGGTTTAAAAATTGGCTGAACTCTGTTTTCAGGAGAAGATGTGAACCTGGAAACCCAGAAGTCCGACTTGCTCCAAAGGCTTCGGCTGAGATGAGAACCCGGCTCGCGGATGTTGGTCTCAGCAGAACTTTGAGCTTCAACTGAAACAAGATGAAGTCCGGTGAACACCAGCTGTGACCCGTGGCCCACAGCGAAGCACGGCAGTGGAGTTATCATGCTGATAACTGATGACTTGAGCCCGGGTCACCACTGCTGCGTACGACCGAAGACTTTAACTCTGCAGAACTTCTAGACAAAATAAGGTTCTAAAGCTCAGGTTCACTGATGGGGTGTGGGGGTCCTTCCATCAGAAATTTCTGAATAAAGTAGCTGCCTCTTCCTGGATTCTGGTTGTTAAACATCTTCGTTTACCTACACAAGTAAACACTTGATTCAACAACTATTTTAGAGAGAAACGAGAAGTAGCCTGACCAACAGTTCCCCTTGTGTGAATAGAACACGCTCCGCTTCTCTCACGCATCCTAACACCCACCCTCCAAGCGTACTGCGGTGCAGACGCACTAGCTAAGATGCTACAGACGTAGTGCTCTGCTTCTCTCACGTATCCTAACACCCCCCACCAACCCCCACTTCCCTGATTGACAGGTGGCGGCGAGGATCCTATTTGAGCAACAAAAGAATCATAGAGTTTACCGGCCCGTTTGAGAGTGTCATCATTTATTCCATATTTGTTTCAAATTTATTCAATATTTTGTTGAATGTAACGTTGGACTTTTCTTACAGAATCTTAATGATGGTTTCTTTATTTTCAGAGGTGCTGAGTTCAAATTTAAAAAGAGGCTAACATCGCCACTGCTGTTTTATCAAAACCAACCAAACTTCTTCTGTGCACATTATTTATTTATGAGCTGCAAAACAAACGCACTTCCATCAATAAAACTTTATTTATAAAATGTTTTCAACATGTTTTCTATACAGCGTGTCAATAACTTTTTCAACATGACATAGCACCAGGTGTGTGTGTTTGATGTAATACTGCTCCGTGTAAACCTTGTTGTCTGTCAGGGGTCCGTCAGAGTCATCTGCCAGATGGAGATGGGACTGCTGGTGCTGTACGGTCGGCCCCCCAGCACCAGCAGCGTATCAGGCAGATGCTTCCTGATATCTTCGTCCTCCTCCTGATCCAAAAGGTGTTCTTCTTCTTCCGTGCAGCTCCACTGCTTCTTGAAGGCTCTGTTTTCAAAAGTCAAATGGCTTCCCCTCGGCTGTGGACCAGTCCCGGTCCTGTTACCGGGGTCCGGTTCTGAAGAACCGAGTCTCTTTCTCTCTGGACTGAACGTCTTCAGCTCGATATCGCCCTCTGAGCCCAGCCTCAGCGGTGCTGGGAAGCACTTGTTCATAAAGGGTCGGGCTTTCTTGTTCTCCTGCCTGGGTTCATGCTCAGAGCTGGAGCAGCAGCTGGTGGGGGCGTAGCTGGGACCCAGACCTGTGCAGCAGTGGTGGATCTTATCTGGCGGGTTGGAGCCGGGCAGGGAGGCCACCTGGATCCAGCTGTGTGTGCTGAAGCTGTACCTCCACAGACCGTTCTTTGGGAAGTTCTGACACTCACCACCTCCAAACAGCAGCATGCTGTCCCTGAAAACCACAGCTGAGTGTCCCATCAGCCTGGGGGGTCCGGACCTGAAGACCAGGTGGGTAAAGGCAGGTGTCATTGTTGTGTACTTCATTATCACACAACACACAGCGAGTCAGTAAAACACAGGCGGGATGGAAAACACAAAATATTTTCTAACAAATATTTAATTTTCCGTCAGACTGAAGTAAAAGAGTTCAAATTTCAGGTTTTATTGTCTGAACGTTCATGAAGCCGTCGCTCCACCCGGAGAAAACCCACGCATGCACGGAGAGAACATGCAAACTCCACCCAGAAAGGCCCCTGGACCGGGGTTTGAACCAGGGACCTGCTCGCTGAGAGGCAGCAGCTCTACCAGTTGCGCCACCGTGCTGCCCCGAAGCAGAATAAAGCTTTAATAATAATAATAATAAATAACAGATAAACTCGTCACTCACTTGGTTTTGAGGCAGGTCCATGTGCGACTGGTGGAGTTCCACTTCCAGAAGTCTCTCTGCTCCAGCAGACCCTTCAGTCCACCAAACAGGAACATGGAGTCCTGGTAGGCCACGGCAGAGTGACTGTGTCTGGGTCCAGGACTTATCGAGTCAGCAGGACTCAGCAGAGACCAGATGGTGGTATCTGTCGTTCAGACACACAGGATGAGACCTTCCAGAGGACCCAGAACCAACGTGAACCCAACACCCAGAGGACCGTTGGTCCTGGATCGTTTGGACTGTTGTCTCCCTGAGAGCAGCAGACTCTGAACAGCTGTGGTTTTATATCAGAGGGGCTGAACTGGAAACTACTTTCTGAACATCAACTTTAGCTTCTTAACTTCCTCAGCTCAGAATTATGGACATCATAAAGAGAACATATTTACATTTATATTGGAAAAAAATAAACTCAAAGTTTTCAATGTTTTGTTTTAACTGGGTATTTTCTACTTTGATTACAATAAATGTATTTGTAACTCACCAAAATCCAAACACCAGAACTCCTGTGAGGGTCCTTTAATGTCCAGAAAACCTCCATAAACCAGCATGGCAGGTCCGATCACCACGGCGCTGTGTCCCTTCCTGTTGCTCGGCCTCTGCGTCCACAGGATCAGAACTTTTAGGATCCCTTTAACGTTTACAGTATATCAGCCTCGGTGAAAGTTTAAACTTCAGCCATTCCCAGATTTCAGCTGGACTTTGGTCTCCATCACCTGCAGGTTCTCTAACTTTTACAACTTCTAGCTGCTATTTGTACTTTGATAGAAACCCCACCCTGACTGTCTCCAGACTCTGAGTCTTCCTTTCAGTTTGAAGGTCTAATGTTTTTAAACTCAACATGATCTGAGCAGTGGTTGTTCCTAAAATGTTCCTCACATTTCTTGATGTTCGTGCGGCACTGCAGGTATTCTTCGGCTGCTAAATGTTAGCTTTTAGTCGTGTTCGTTTTCAGACAGCTGTTCTGATGGTAAAATGTAAAAAAAAAAGAAAAAAAAAAGCATTTGGACTGGGTAAGGAGATGTTGTGACAACGTGATCTAAACCTTCACGGCAGAATAAAAACTGTTGAGAGAACTGAGGATCAGTGTCAGCGCTGCGTTTTGGAAAGCCTTCTGTACCTGGGGGGAGCTCCTCTTTCCCTGGCAGTGCACCCACTTCTGCTTCGCTGAAAAACAACAAAACAACAAATAATAGTGAAATACTGAACACAGTAGTCCCTCGCTACTTCGCGGTTCGTTTATCACGGACTCGCTCTATCGCGGTTTTGCAAAATAAGAATGGACATGAGCCGCACGATCAGCATGAAACTTTTATTTAAAATAAATTATTTTAAATTATGTAGCACCTCCTGCATCTCTGTGCAGCCCACACTGCAGGATAAACTTCCTGCTGCAGCTGATCAGCTGTTCTCCGTGTTGAGAGGAGAAGTGGGCGTGGCCAAGAACGCTTGCAGGTGGCTGAGAGCAGCGGAGGCAGGGAGCTGAAATCATGACTTTCTGTGCTCCTTGTGTTTGGAGTTTAGAAACATTGTTTAGAATATTGCAAGAATGTGGGAAGGGTTTAAAACACTTTATAAAAACTACTCACTACTTGTTACTTACTACTACTATTCCTACTTGGTGGTTTTTCAGTTATCACGGGGCTTCAGGGTACAGATCCCCCATGATAAACGAGGGACTACTGTAAAATGTCCTCCTTTTACTATAAAAATAAGATCAGTGTAATAAACTGCCATGATCTCTAAAAGTTAAATCTGGTCCTCTGGACATTAAAAGAAGAAGTAGAAATGTTTCGTCTTTCATCCGAAGTCTGAGGTGCTGTATTTAGCTCAGTCTTATAAACAGCACCTTCTCGTAGTGGATCAACCAGTTTGGCTATTTGGTTTTGGTTGTCAGCAGCAAACTGGTTGATCCACTACAAGAAGGTGTTATTTATAAGACTGAGCTGAATACAGACCTCAGACTGAAGAAGTCTTTCGGATGAAAGAAGAAAGGTTTCTACAAGTTTTTTTCTTGTTGAATGTCCAGAGGACCAGATATAACTTTTTTCTATTTTTCAACCTGGATTATTGAGCATGCATCAGGATAAACTGCCATGATGTGAATGGTTGCACGCAGACAGAAGTTACTTGTACTTTATGGAGAAAGGTATTTTGACCAAACCTGACTGTCCCACCACCAAGGTCTGAACGACGCAGGGTCCTCTTTTACAGCTCCAACTGTTTCCACTCTGCTTGGAAGGATTCACACAAGATTTCAGTGTTTCTGAGAGACTTTGAGCTCATTAACGCAGTGATGTTGGAGCAGAAGGCCCGGCTCGGTTCCAGTTCATCGTGACGTCACTCAGTGAGGAGCGGCCCACTCAGAACTCATTAAACCAGGTGTTTATTACCGTGCACAGGCTGTCCGTCACTGGAGAACGGGGGATGAACCCTGACTTTGAAGAACCAACAGGTGAGTCCAAAAGTCTCAGGGACAGAAATCACTGGACTGTCTCAAAAGGTTGTGCAACAACATCTTCAGTTCAGGGGTTTTGTCGAGGCTGGTTTCATTAGTTTGTTATTTTAAATAATTCTGTTGGACCAAAATTCAAAAACAACTGGATTTCATGAGTTGAATTTTATTTTATTTTAATTATTTTTGTCAGTTTCAAGTTATTTCAGAGACATCTGCGAGCTTTTCTTTCATGAATTTCATATATTTATACACAGATGCAAATAAATTTAGTTGAATATGAATTGTTTAAAAAGCAACACAAACACCCGTTTTAATAAAAAAATAGAAGCGAGTGTAAGAGCCCCAGCCTGAAAGCTTTAAAACTAAAACACCGTGTAAATGTGAGCTGTAAGAGGCACGAAGCACAAAGCCAGCAGTAATGAATATTTTCAGAGGTTTGGAGGCTGGAGTCGACATGTAACAACACGTTCTCTTTGTTGGGCCTGAGTATTCCCTGGAAGAAGCTCCAGGATTAGCTGACAGAGTAAATTACAGCATTCATGCACCTCCATGATAAAACTCACCCGTGTCAAACACCCAGAGGGCACATCTGTACTTGGTGTAGGCCGAGTCCAACATGCCTCCAAAGACGTACAGGAAACCCTGAGCAGGTCGGAGGAGTTCAACGTTTCAACACCGCTTCGTGTTTTACAGGAGAACTGAGTAAAAGTAACGTATGTCTTTATCCGGATGAGTTTGTACCTCATGGGCCACCATAGAATGTTCCTCCAGCTCTTCTGGTGCAGCTTCACTTGTGCAGTTTAACTCGGTCCATTCATCACTCACTGAAATATTAAACACACGAGAGCGACACGTGACCGCAGGGTTCTGCTCCCTGCCGTTCACAGCAACGTCCATCTTTAAGCACAACCTGCGTCGCTCACATTTACAGGTCTGAAGAGGACTGAGAGCATCGGACATTGATCAGATTCAGATCAAAGGATTACTTTATTGATCGGCTGTGGTCACTCTGACCGTTAGTAAATAGCCCAAACTCGTCTTTTTATTAACTGTTATTAATATTTATTATTAATTAATACTATTAATATTTTATTAATCCTTGTACTCCTGGACCTTACCGCTGCTTATGCTACTTTTGACAGCAGTATCCTTATATCGAGGTTAGAACACTGGGTTGGGATTACAGGTGCAGCGTTAGAGTGGATCCGTTCTTACCGTAAGTGACAGGAGTTTTTGTGTTAATAGTAATCGATACCTATAGTAATAGGAAATAGTGTATCTGCATCAGTGCCTCTTTAAAGTGGGGTACCACAGGGCTCGATTCTCGGACCTCTATTGTTTTCACTCTATCTGCCCCCTTTGGGAGGGTCTATCCTGAGGAAACATGGTTTTACGCTTCATTGCGATGCTAATGTCATATTTATCTGCCCTTAAAACCTAACAGTTCTTGCTCCATCCGGCCTCTGTTAAAATGTCTCAATGACACCAAGGCATGAATGGCTTCAAATGTTTTAAGTTTCAACGATCAGAAAACCGAAGTCGTTTTCAGCCCTACCTCTACTGCTGTCTCTGTTCCTGTAAACCTCGACTCTCTTGAGCCATATCTTAAGCAGTCTGTTACAAATCTCAGGATACCAAAGAAGTCCATGCTCAATAATCCAGGTATACAATCCAACAATTTCCAGTCAGGTCATCTGGACAGTTTCTTTTTCTCAGGATAGTTTACGACTCTGATTTTAAGTTTAATAAACAGATTAACTCTGTTCTACAAAAATCTTCTTCCAGTTAAGGCAGATAGATAAACTTAAGTCTGTGTTGACCAACTGGCCTTTAAAAAGAGTCCATGCAGTCGTTACAACCCGGCTTGATCAATGCAACACGCTTTATGTCGGGGTCAGCCAGGTCTCCCTTTCACGTCTCCAGTTCGTCCAAAATGCAGCAGCTCGGCTCTTAACAGGAACTCGTAGGTTTGAGCACATTTCACCAGTTTTGTCCTCCTTTCACTGGCTCCCTGTACGTATTAGAATTGATTTAAAAATTATCCTATTGACCTTTTAAATGCATAAATTACCTCTCTGACCTACTTCAACCATATGTTCCTTCTCGGGCGCTGAGATCATCTGATCAGCTGCTTTTGGTTGAAGCTCAGAGGAGATCGGGCTTTTACAGTCGTGGGTCCTAAACTTTGGAAAAATCTGCCCCCAACATTAGACAGACCCCTTCACTTCCTGTTTTTAAATCTCTCCTGAAAACACACCTGTTTTCACTGACGTTTAACACTGTGTGATTTGATTTAGTACTTCATTGTTTCTCATTGTTTTTGTGTTTTATGTTTTTATTTTTGATGCTTTTAATACTTATTATTATTTCCCTTAATTACTGTCTTGCTCTTATTGTGAAGCATTTTGGTAACAGCTGCTGTTTTAAATGTGCTTTATAAATACATTTGACTTTGACTAATTGTGTTGCTCAGTCTGTGTCTAATTTTGTCTGTTTGAATGTTTTTGTTGGTGCAATGCACTTCGTAACATTTTTCTTGAAGGATGCAACATAAATCATATTTTCAGGACTTGGAGCTTCCACTATAAGCCCAGAGGTGAAACGTGAACAGCAACAGATGTGAATAAAACCAGCGATGTCACTGAATCAGCAACATGTTTCACACAAGCTGTTATTATGGAACAATTATAGTTTGGTTTTATGAAACGCATCATTCTGTGCACTTTAGAGTTTCACATTTACAGTTTTAGCTGTCCCAGTTTTATTTTAGCAGTAAATTGAATTTGTTTAAGCTATACCTTCCTTAGTTCTTGTTCTTGTTAAACTACTAAAACAATTCTGTAGTTTGTAAAATTTGGGGGATTGTTGTTGATCGAGAGACATTTAGTTATTTTTATTAAGACAGTAAAATAAAACACGTCAGTTTTTATTGTATTACCAATAAAACCAGCACAAACAGAAGCTCTTTCCCTGCACAGCTACTGAAGTCACATCTATCCCCACAAAACTGTTTTTATAATAACTTCAATGAGGCAGATAAAGAAATGTAAATATCAGGGACAAACTGATCTTAATTCACCTCCGTGCACCGGAACCTTCTTCACAAGTATAAAATCAAATACTCAGGTTCTCTGTTGATTCAACAAAAAGAACCCGACTAACGTTTCTTACATTTATCTACCTGGATTATTGAGCGTGCATCGAGATGTTTAAAGTCCTTGATGCTCGAACCGTGAACTTCCTCTCGTGCGAGGAAAGCCAGAGTTTCAGAAACGCAGAGTTTTCATGTTTAGTTTGAAGCAGACGCACGAGACGAGATGCTGAGTTCTGCCTCCTGAGGTCACAGATGCTTGCTGTGCTACAAACAGCCGTCGGGTGTAAAATACTGTGAAGTTAAACAGAACGTAGCTGAACACCAGTCATGGCAGACTGGACCAGAAGCTGTTATTAAACTACAAACAGGTGAGTCACAAAGTGACAAGAAAACACCTGAGCAGTCGACCTGCGTGAGCGGCTCTACAAACCACAGAGTTCTGAAATCTGTTGGCAAACATCTACACATCCCTCATCTTTACTTGGGGTCACGGGGGTCACTGGTGCCCATATCCAGCAGTCACTGTGTGAGAGGCAGGGGACACCTGGACAGGTCTCCAGTCCATCACAGGGACACCTGGACAGGTCTCCAGTCCATCACAGGGACCTGGACAGGTCTCCAGTCCATCACAGGGACACCTGGACAGGTCTCCAGTCCATCAAAGGGACACCTGGACAGGTCTCCAGTCCATCAAAGGGACACCTGGACAGGTCTCCAGTCCATCACAGGGACACCTGGACAGGTCTCCAGTCCATCACAGGGACCTGGACAGGTCTCCAGTCCATCACAGGGACCTGGGCAGGTCTCCAGTCCATCACAGGGACCTGGGCAGGTCTCCAGTCCATCACAGGGACCTGGACAGGTCTCCAGTCCATCACAGGGACCTGGGCAGGTCTCCAGTCTATCACATGGACAAATAGAGTCAATACGTATTTTTTATTTAATAAAATATAACAGGGCGGCACGGTGGCGCGGTTGGTAAGGCTGCTGCTTCTCAGCGAGCAGGTCGCCGGTTCAAATCCCCGCCAGGGGTCCTTTCTGGGTGGAGTGTGCATGTTCTCCTGACGCATGCGTGGGTTTTCTCCCACATACTGAAAGTTAGGTATGTACGCACAGTGACGGCTGGGTATGGACATCAGTGACACCCCCCACCCCCACGACCCAAAAAGGAAGAAGCAGGTAAAGGTAATGGATGGATAAAATATAACAATAATTGTTAAACTTAAATAAATACGTATAAAAATAAATAAATAAATAAAATCACTGTAATGCCACTTTGATTGTTGATATGTGCTGCTGATCTCATGCTGCTGATTAATTGATCCATCTCTGGTTTCGCGTCACGTCTTCAGGCTTCATTCCCATCATCCGTTTTAAAACTCCAGAGGTTTCCAAACTCAGATCTTGTGTTTTCTGGACTGTTTGAGAGTTTATATTAAATGTTTAGCGGGTGGTCGGGCTTTGATTGTCCCTATGCTTCAAAACCAAACAAATAACTTATAACAAACAACTAAGAAAGAACACCTGGAAGAAAACAAAGTCACATTTCTAATAGAGTTTATGGTTTCTTTTGTCTAACTTTATTCTGATGAGATGTTTTTAAAACTGTTTAAATGTTCAAAATTAAAATCTACTTTTACTTCTGAGCACTTTGAACAACAAAGTTCAAACTGTTTTTTTTTTTCAGGGTTTTTAGATCGTTTGACGTGATCTTGGGTTCTTTGTGTTTTAATTTGTAGAACGAGTTTATTTGTGTCTGGATATTTTATTTTTCCTGGTTTTTGTGTCCCGCGTGATGCCACGATGTTTTCCTTCGGTCAGTCGTGCTTTCTTCAGCACTCGCCTGCTCCTCATCCTCTCATCAGACGGCGTGTTCGTTAGTTTGCTGCCTCGTCAGCTCTTTCTTTTACTTTGTTCACATCAGCTGGTGCTCGTCGTTGCTTTGGGTCCAACTCAACGTTAAACTGTGACATTTATGATTCTCCAAATAACGAACCGTGGGAATGATTTTTGAAACGGAAATCTTATTTTCTATTAAAGAAAGAACAGAGTTCATGTGTCTGTGCGTGTGTAGGGCTGTTTGTCCCGTCTGTGGTTTGAACTTGGAGAAACAGGTCGGTGAAGACTCTTACCCACGTTGTACTTCCAGAAGTCCCCCACGCTGCCACTCTCCCTGCCTCCCAGGAGGTAAACGTTTCCATGGCAACTGCAGCAGGCGTGTTTGTAGCGGTCACACGGAGAACGGAGGCTCTGAGGGAGCTGCGTCCACAGACACGGGTTACTGTGACTCATGGCAGGCATCCTCACCGGACCATGTTCTAACACCAGAACAAAAGAAAGATAAAGATAAATCAATAACAACAACACAAAGGTTTCGAAACTGTTGAGGAGTCATAGCTCAGAGACGAAGCTCCAGGTCACACAGGTCCCGAGGTGATCTTTACAAGTCAAAATAAATTGGTATTTCCTCTCTGGTCCAGGTATTTTTATTTTTTATTATTTTTCCTTTGTCGGTTCTGTTGTGTTTTCCTGTTCGATGTGGATTAATTCATTCAAGTTTATTTGATCAAGGACGGCACAGTAAACAATGTTACATGATAAAAACAAAGCAGCCGTTGTTTTGTAAGAAAGGTTTTCTAACCACAGGCTAATTTGCAAACCCAGTCCTTGGTTGGACTTAAAAAAGCATATAGAATTAAAATAGAATTAAAATGAAACAGTCCCCTCACACATGCACACATGCCTGCTCCTCCATCACCACGGGGCTCAGTGTTCACAGAGTTGTTTTTGTTGCAGTCATTGTTTCACCTGGGAATTAAAAACTCTAAGATCTGTTAATGTTTTAATTGCTGATAGTAAACTGTTCAAAATATGAAGCCCTTTAAATGAGGAGGAACATTGAGCAAATGATGTTTTGTATTTTGCAGGTTTGCAGTCTCCATCGCTCGTGAGCTGCTGACTTTTAAAATCATTCTGCTCACCAGCTCTGGGACAAGACCATTAATGCATTTAAAAGTCCACTTCAAACAAGAAAATAAATTTAAAAAAATCGTCAAAGCTTAAGAAACCAAACGTCCAGTATTTTCCAGTGGTGCCACTTCAATGGTTTCTGGTCTGAAACGTTCGGTGCTTGTGAAAACAACGTCCTCACAGGTTTGAAAGCAGATGGAGTTGCTTGGCTCCGGACACAGACACAGTCTGAGAAATGAGACAGAATCATGGCTGTCGGCACAACTGAGCAGATTTTAAACATAAACGTGATCTTATAAGATGAAAACAATTTATGTTTGTCTTCTTGTATTTCATAGTTGGTTCTGGTTTAGCTCTTTTGTTTTTCAGTGTTTCTTGTGTTATTTACACTCCGTCAGCTTCCTCAGTATTTGTTTCAGTTAATCTCATATGTTCCTAATTAGTCACTTGCAATCAACTCAGGTGTTCCCACTTTTCTCTCTCCTTCAGTTTACTATATAAGCAGCTCTAGTGACCTCCTCTCCAGTAGCTCGTTTGGGTCTTTAGGTTCCTGTCCGTTTGTGTTTTCGTCGCGCTCCTCTGTTCTTTGTAAAGGTTGGCCGCCACGCCGGCCTGTGGTTTCGCTTCTTTAAAACTAACAAGTTTAAATGTATTTCTGAGCTCCTCCGTGTTTGTCTAACTGGGTCCAGAACAGATGATGCCTCCTGGAGCACATTTCCATACTTGTGTCGCTTAATGGCGACATCTGCTGGACTTTAGAAAGTATTGCAGGCAGCATGTATAAAAAGACAGTTAACATCCATAAAAAATAAATACAGTAAGGTACTTTATTTATAGAAGTGTATTTATTCATATTAATTTGAATACAACTAACAAAATATAACCGAGTAACACAGTGTGTCAAATGCAGAATTTACAGAAACCTCTTTTGTAATAAAGTATAAATGAAACATTAAAGTGACAGCTGTGTATAAATCCTGTAAGCCATGAAGGGAGTACATAAAGATTAATAACAAAGGGTTGAACAGGTACACAGATAAGTGTATTTTTGATTCTTCCATTATTCTAAAGGAACCTTGTTCTTAATATGATGTTTTTGAAAAGATGCCGCTGGACTTGAACATCTGCTGTTCAACTTCATCCTGCTTTCAAAAACCTCTGCTGCCACAGGTTATCTAAGAAAATGCAGTATTTTGTTGGTACTTATTTAACGATCCATTTTAAAACGACTTGCACAAAACGAACATGACATGCCTGAACTGGTTGCTGACGACAAATTGAAGGTTGCGGTTCTGCTTCCTCCCACGCAGCTCCAGCAGCAGCTGAAGGTGTGAGCTAACAGTCCACATTTCACCTGCAAATACATTTATGAGTTACTTCATGTAGAATGATAATAATTTGAATCGGGAGTTATTCAGAAAGGAATTGTAATTTAGTTAACTCAAACGACAACAGAGCAGAAGTGGAGAAAGAGGAAACGTTTACCCTAACTGGCGTTTCAGATCAAGATGCTCCAATTCTGGAGAAAGTTTCCTCGTCTCGATGATCCCACACGATCCATCCCAAAGACGTTCGTCCAAAAACAGCACGTGGTCAAAGTCTCTTCCTCCGTTCTGATGCAAGCCCAAGTTTCACTTCCTGATAAACAGTTTGGCGCCTCACTACCGTACGACAAACGGCTGCGTCAGTCATGTGATTCTCCTTGACCCATGTCTGGGTCCAGTCCACCACTCCGCTGTGACAGTGGAAGCAGCATTGGGGCGGCTGTGGCTGAGCGGTTAGAGCAGTCGTCCTCCAATGCAAGAGTTGGGGGTTCGATTCCACCAGCAGCACATGCCAAAGTGTCCCTGGGCAAAACACTAAACCCCTCATTGCCTTTGATGTGTTTCCCATCGGTGTATGAATGTGATAAAGCTCTGATTAGTCTTTGTATAGATCTAGTATAGAGCTGTAGGAATGGAGAAATGAGGCACGGATTGTTGTAAAGAGCTTTGAGTGTCTTCATAAGATAGAAAGATGATGTATAAGTACATTCTGTTGTTTAATTGACTTATGGATCAGGATTGTCTCAGAAACTCTGCTTCTGTTATTTTATAGACTTTAAGTTGTAAACTCCATAAAGTTTAGCTCAAAAGTGGTTTACAACAACATATATTGAAAAGAGGGGAAACGTTAAACTCCCTAAATATGTAAAATCAGGTATCCTAAAAGTTTAATTGAAAAACGTGAACACATGATCCCCACAGAGAAGCACGGTGGTGGCAGCATCATGTGGTGACTTCTAATTAGAGTCAGCATAAACTGAGGAAGCTTTCAGAGAATTAACACTTAAACATCTTTTATTATTCAGAAAGACAACAGCATGAACATTTATCTGTTATCTTTTGTGTTTCAAACTTCATCAAACTTTATGTAAATATGTTTTAGTTAAAGATAAACTCGTTTTTTTTTAACTCCAGGTTGTGATAAAGGAGAATGGCTGACGTAAGAAGCCTAAACAGCTACAGAACTCTGAAACCATCCGGTTCTGATGACGCTGTGTGTGTGTGTGTGTGTGTGTGTGTGTGTCAGCAGTGGTTGTTATGGATGCAGAGAGCTCCCATCAGGATTCATGCTGGGACTTCCTGAACCACAGAGGACCAGGCTACTCACGCTGGTCTTACAGTCAAAGGGGAACAAACAAACAAATCTTTGTCCTGGAAGAACTTCTCGGCTGACTATGTTCCTGACTGTTCAGCTGCAGTCAGAGCTAACTCTTCAGCTTATGTTTGGTCCTTTTATTTAAAACATGAAACATTTCTGAAATTATTTCATGTAGCGCCACAGTCCACTGCAGCAGATGATAAATATCATCTCAGTGATTTAACATCTTCAGCAGCAGAATGATTGCCGGTGTGCAAGCCGCTACTTTGTTCTCACACTTTGTACCCCGCAGTTTATATGTAGGAGTGTTTGATTTATGTATTTTTTCATAGTTTTCAAAATGTATATTATTTTGTAGGACTTCCTGCTGTCTCTTGGTAGCTTCATGCCGCTAACATTTTCCTTCGACAGATCTGGGCGCTTGTGGCACAGAGAACGCCCTCAGGGAATCAGATGTACTATTTGACTTGCGGTCACATGACCTTGATAAGACTTCTTGGTAATATTTACCAGTAAATAATTTCAGTTACGCAGGTGTTTGGTACTGTTCTGTCCATTTTGAAGCTATAATGGTGGTTACCATGAGTCAGACGGCGAAGCTTCATGAAGACTTGTGACGATCTTACAATCTGAGCGTGTGTTGAAATCAAGTTATATCTGCTGGCTGGTTCTTGTACTACAACAAGACAGATGCACACAGCTGGAGCAGACTGGGGGCACAGTCCCTGAAGATGAACGGTGGATGCCTGTGGCTAAATAACCGGAGGGTCTTACTTATGTAAAAAAATTATGTATTGTCTTATATTTAATACGTGCAGCTTAGAGACAGGTGCATTCTAAAGCCCGGCAATTACAGCAAAACAGTATAAAGTTCAGCTGGCTTTCATTAAAGACGAGTGAACCTCTAGTTTGTTGGTTTTAATTCCTTTTTGCATTTATTTGTTTGTCACATTTGGGTTGCGTTCAGTTCGGTTTTGTTTAGGGTTTCTATTCTTGTCATGCTGGTTGATGCCAGCCAGTCTTCTTGTGGTTTTCTGTTTCCTTCTTGTTTTACTTTTGAGCTTTTGCTAAATACATTTCTTGTCTTTTGCTCAGTTTTGGTGTTCAGTCCTCCTCCTTGGGTCCTACACACTGACTCCTGACAAGGAGGAGGTGGTGTGAGGTGAATGGGACCACCTAGAGTCTCTCAGGTTTATAAAACAGCTGCCAAAAAGAAACTTTAAGAAGGAAAACAGACACAAAGAGCTGATCGCCAAGACCCACTTCATCTCATCAGTAACTGAAGAGATCATCATCTATGTGGATTCTGTTTGGTTTTATTTTGTTTATGTACGTTGATAATTGTATTTTTCAGCTTGTGGCTGTAACTGTGCCATCTTGACCCGGTGTCCCTCAAAAAAAGAGCTGATCATGTGAACGGACCACCTGCTTAAATAAAGATGTTCATGATGTAGAAGTCTGATCACGTGAAGCTACATCTGAAGAATAAAATCATTTTTCACCTGCTGTATTTTTCTGAACACACCTTGAAGTCGATCAAGAGGCAGACTTTATGACCCAACACCTGAGCTGCTGGATGAACATTAAAAATGCAAGAGTTTAAATGTTGACTGAGCCAAGAGACGAGGAACACCTCAGATAAAAAACAAACTACATTTTTATCATATAATGTTCAAAATTAAGTCATTAAATTTAATTAAGCAGCTTCTCCTTAATGAACATTTTACAAAATAGTCGTAGATCGAACTAATAAATATTAAACCAGCATTTAAATCCATTTTTTTTATTATAAAAAGATAAAAAATTGATGTTTCTGTCACTATTTTTAGAAACTAATTTTTATTCCCACAGCTGCCGGACTCCCAGAGTTATAGTCATTTTTGCATTGGCTGAGGTCAACTAGTTATGTCGGCCATCTTGAATGGGGCTGACATCAAAACTGAATCCACTTGTTTGTTCTGGTCCATGTTACTTGGTGCTTCTTACCCTGCAAGAAAAAAGTTCTGCCGGGAGCTCCTGCAGAGAGCGTGTTCTCGGAGGCGGAGCGAGAACAAAAAGACGCAATGAAGTCACGAGGAGAAACATCTTGACATCTCAGTATAAATCAGCCTTTTTTAGGTTACAACTTCCTTTGACTTTAAATTTGTGTACCTTCACTGAAAATGCTTTTATTGTGAAAACGCCATTTTTTGAAAAATGTGGAGTCATTTCCTGTTAGCTACAAGGAGATGCTGTAGCACCCTCCGCACCCCCAGTTCCCCTGTTTTTTCCTTTTTTTAACATTATTTCTTAATAAAGTTCTGTCGCCCACGGACACAGAACCAGAACCCGGCTAACTAACCGAGCTAACCCGTCATTAACACAAACTGACGGGTCTGAAGACGTTTTGGTTAAAGAACTGTCGAACTTCTGGATCACGGCGCTCCTTTCTGTAGACCGTTACTCCTCTACTCCTTCGAAAATAAGACCTAAAAGGGAGTTTGTTTTTTTCACCCAACCTGTTGTAAAGGCTTTTAAAATACCAACCCCCCTTTTAACAACACTAAATAAAATGTATTTTTTCCACTTACTTAAACTTTTCACGGCGTCGTTCTTCGATTGTTGTTTATTTAAACGGAGTTTTGATGCGTTCACTTTCCCTCGTAAATCACATAAGCCACAACTGGAGCTCCTTAAAGAGGAATTATTGCGTAGACATAGCCTACAGACTCACACACTTCTTAGTTGTTTTATTTATTTACCAGCAAATTATTGTATTATAGCGTAATACTTGTGTTTTTACGTTACACTTATGTGATGTTTATTATTTTTAACATGACATAGTCATTTAAATAGGCCTTAGATAAACCATTTGTATAATATCACAGCGCTAAAACAAACGTTAGGAGAATACAATATAGTAAAAATGTAATAACTCGTAAAGACTTGTGTTTCATGCCGTCCAGCTTGGGAGTTGTCATTTTTCCAAGAAGCTTTTAACGCAGCCTTAGTGGGCGGGGCTTTAAATCAACAGAAAGAATGACAACATTTACCTGGCATGGTGGTATTTACAGGATTATAAATGTAGTCGTGACTGTACAAGCTGGACTTTGAGCCGTATTAAAACTTATATGTAAGCTCTGTAAGAAGCCCCATGATCCTGAACTGCAGTTTGTCTGTAAATGTTGAAATTTTACAGACATAAAAATCCTGTTCCCTTCAGGTCACGTGATGAGCAGTAAAAGAAATCACTTCCACCTGATTTATCATCTAATGCACAGTCCCAACTTTAAACTCTACAAGCTGAAATGCTTGTTTGATGTATTTTTTTACCTTATGTTTGCCCCCACAGTGACAACAATTTCATTTTTTTTAATTAATTTTGTGATTTTGCTTTGTATAATCAATTATGATAAAAAAAAAACAAAAAAAAACAGAATTGTAAAAAGTGAGGGAGATCTGAATAATTTCTGAACCTGCCGCATGTTTGAGTTAAACAAGCTCATGCCAAAATTAGAAGCGCTGCAACACAAGACAGGATTTACACAAAAATAAACAAAATGTTTTTCTAAGACACTTGGTAAACAAATATTTGTACAGAGTTGTATTTCCTAGAAAGCACACATCTCAACGTAATACATTGTTTTGTATTTAGGTCACAAAGTGCAACAAAAATGATTTCTGTAAATCTGTCTTGGAAGAGTTCACGTGTGACAAAAATCACCATGACACTGGAAGGCTGAGGTTTATTTAAAACAGCTGCAAAAGGTAGCAAAACAGCAGCTGAAAGCTAAAATTAGCATTAAGGGGACAAACTCAGACTCAAAGAGAACAAAGGAACAGAAGACCTCTTCATGTTTAGGCTATTGGTAAATAAAGTTTAATATTTCTAAAAGAATAAAAGTTACAAAAGCTAACAAACCTTATCGCACTAATCGTGAACGAGCCGAACATTTTGATGGTTAAAAAGCACCAACGTCTGCATGAACCGTCCTGCTGACTCAGCCTTCACACTTATACATGTTTTACTACAACGAACCTAAAGCAAATGTGCAGCTGTTGCTGTTAAAGAAGTTATTTAAAGTCACAGCAGATGAAAAGTTAAATTGTTTATTTGTTTGCTTGGGTCAGTGGATGAACTTGCAGGAGGTTCTTTAGTAGAAGAGCTGATCTGCACTGCCCAAGTTCATGTATTTATTTACAACGTGAACAAAAAGATCATGGAGATCCACACAAACAGCCCAAGTCACTGATGGAAACACCGACAGAATATAAAAACAGAGATTCATCTGGTTTTAAATAGTTAAATGAATAAATTAAAGGGAAGGAGAGTTCAACTACAGAACCGGGGATTGGTCAGGTGTCACAGTTCAATCTGCTCCCTGCAGCCCGCGGGGCGGTTCTGCCAGGATGACGGCTGGAGGATGCTCCCAGTCTAAAGTCTGATTTATTGGTTCTGGAACCTCACAGCTCCGTCTTCTTGTATGTTCCTTTTAAATCGTTGTAGCTGTTCCCATCGAACTCAAAACCTCCGTTTTCCAAAGCGTGGACTTTCTGTTTTGTATCTTCGGAGTCCAAGGCCGGGGCCTCGCTGTCTGCACCAGCCGAGCCTTTTCCACACGTCCTTTTGTACCACTGGAAGGCTGCAGAGCAAATCATTCAGTGTCACAAACGAGTACCAAGTCCCTGATAGAACATGATTAATTCATTTATTCAACCTTTACTTGTACAGGTTATAATGGAGTAGATCAGGTTTAATGTCCTAGTTTAGCTCGTCTGCAGTTCTTGTTTGACTCATCTGAGAATTGGTTCACACCTAATCTGTTTATGAGTTAATTGACGTTGTTCATCTTCCTCCTCTGCGTGAAGAAACCAATTCTGATTCTCTTCCAGTAAAATAAGCCCCAGGCTCATCACCTGGCTGCAGATGTGCTCGGTGAAAGCTTACCTCCCACAAAGGCGAGGGCAGCCGCCAGCTGGAAGATGCTGTAGATGAGCGGGAAGGCAAACATGACCTCCAGCTCCTCTGGGCTGAAGGACAGCTGCACAATGGTGCTGCACAACTGGGAGTTCTGGAAACCCGTCTCCAGCGCGATGGTTCGACACCTGAACAGAACGCAGAGTAAGAAAATATATAAATGTAAACAAACTGCCAGACTCCGCCTCCTCTCAGCCGTCACCTACCTGTGCCAGGGTTGACCCACGAAGCGGGCCAGGAGGAATCCCAGTCCAAACCCAACGAAGGGGTAAATGGCCCCAATGATCCACAGGGAGGGAGAGATGGTCCAGGAGGACTGGTAGAGGACTCCTCCAACCACGGCGATGATGATGATGAGGATGAAGCCAGCGATGGAACCCACCTGACGGAAAAGAAACCCGTCCAGAACTTTAATCATTTGCTCCGTGCAGAAGATAACTGTCCCAACAACGCCCTTCATCACTCTGTAAGATCTGATTTGTTCAAACCTCCTGCTGCTCCCGGGTCAAAACGACCCACAAGGCCTCGGATTTAAGACTGAGGTCTTGTGGGTCACTTTGACCCAAGGGCAGCAGGAGGATCAGGTCAGTCTGAATGTTGCTGTTCCTCAGGAAACTTTCCAGACGTGTTATAGGACAAGTTTTTATTTTATTTTAATGACCAAATTAATAACCGAGTGCAACCACTCAACTCACTGAAGGCTGTGCTCTAGATCAACTTTAATCTTTAGTACACTAGTTTAAGTTTTCCTCTCTTTAAGTTCTTGTAACTCATTCCGTGTGGTTTACGGTACAGGTGGGGAAAACAGTCAAACATTCCTACCTTAAGGATCTTTTTAGCCTGCGAGGGCCACCTGTTTTTCACATAAATCCCCAAAGCGATGGGGATCAGAAGGGCTGCCAGTGTGATTCCTGAACAAATAGAGAAAATAAAACGGCTTTAATTTTAGCAGGACAACAAATATGTGCTTTAAATCAAACCCAGAGAAACAAAACGTAAAGGAATACATTCAAATAGGCTTTTAGGTGAAGATAATTTTCTTTGCATCAACTTCTTTGTAAAAGGAAGAGAACTGGTGTTGGTTAATGTAGTGGCACTTCGCTTACCGATGCTGTCAAATGGGATCTTGATGGCGTCGCTGGAGGTCCAAACGCTGGTGTAAATGAACAGGCAGAGAGGCATCATCCCCAAAGCCAGGATGGAGGAGCAGGCAGTCATACTGATGCTGCGGAGAGACAAAAACCACAACCAGGTCCACGTTACACACCACTAATGGAAGACATCAGATTAATATACAGAGTTACATTTATTCTTTTCAAGTGCACAATTTATCTGTTAAAGAATTCAGGTGATGAGTCTAAAAGTCAGATGGAGATGGCGAACCAGCTTCCATAAAGGCATAAACGTAGCTGAAGTTAAGCTGCTAATGAGATACTTTTATCCAAAATGAAAAGGTATTTTTGAGCTTTTAAGAGCCGCTGTAAAAATAATAAATTGAAACGTAACCCTAAAAGGTTGACCGTTTTTATTTCAGCAGATTGTAACCATTTTTTTTAGGTAAAATTACCTAAATATAAAGAACAAATTATTTATATTTGTGAGGTTGTTACTCAAGCTGTAACTGTTTGCTGGGTGTGCACGTGAATGACAACCTCAGCTGGGGCAACAACACTACCAGCCTGATTCTACAGGTGTGCAGTGGAGAGCATCCTGTGCTCCAGCATCAACGTGTGGCACGGAGGCTGCACAGCTGCAGAAAGAAAATCTTTGCAGAGAGTGGTGAAGGCTGCACAGAAGATGTTGGAGTCAGTCTCCCCACCATCACAGACATCTACACCTCCAGATGCAGGAAGAGGGCCACCTGCATCATGAAGGACCCCACTCACCCAGCACACACACTTTTTGCCCCGCTCCCCTCAGGAAGGAGGTTGAGGAGCATTAAGTGCAGAACCACTTGACTGAGGAACAGCTTCTACCCTGAGGCTGTCATGAATCTCTTAACTAGGATAATCACTGTAATGCCACATGACTGTTGATGTGCTGCTGATCTCATGCTGCTGATCTCATGCTGCTGTGTTCATTCGTACTCCTCTGCTCACATAAATTTATGTTCGTTCTGCTGTTCGGCGTATTGTTTTTATACTATCAGTGCTTAGTGTATTTTTAGTTTTATGTTTTTCTTAGTTCATATCTTAGATCTTATTACTGGTTTTTCTTTACAGTGTATACTTTGGTTGGCTGTAACTGGGACCCTGTGTACACAATTTCATGGTGCGCATGACAAATAAAGAAACTTTGACTTCTTGTCTATTAAATGTATGTTATATTGCAGTTGTTTAAAAAGGAAACACTGACTGTTGCTTGCCAAATAGTACACATGTATTATCAGACTCTTATGATGGATTTTATAAATGCTTATTAATGCTTTATAAAGTGTTAACAAACTTATTTATAAAGCCTTAACAAGCCTTTTAGAAACATGCATTTGTTGCAAAGTAGAATTAACAATATAGATGCTAGTTAATATTTAATCAAAGTACATTTCTTTTGGCTGCTACATTCAGCACGGGTCGACAGAAAGTTTTTCATATTTCTGCAACAATAATCGTCAACTTGACGGATACTTGATACAAAACTAACTGATTATGTCAAAGCTGTTGTTTCTGATTGGTTGATCTAATCAGCTAATGCTCTGATTGGTTAGAAGGCTACATGAAGCTCGTTACCAAATGTAAAGAATATAAATGTAGTAATTTCCTGACAATGTGTTTTATGTCAGTTCCTAACTCGTGTTGGCTCTTAGCAGAGCTGGATGCCTGCAGACCACAAATGAATCTTTGAGCCGACAAAGGTCGATGTTGATGACGCTTTGAGTCAAAACATTGGAGTTGCAGTTTTTATTAAAAATAAATGGATTATTGAGTTCAAATTTGACAGGTGAAAAGGTCAGTAATCATCATGGGTAACATTCTTTACTGTTCAAAATCCATTTTTACAGTATTTTAGTCCCCACGTGACAAAACGTCCTCGTCTTCTAACCAACAAGAAATTCTATGGAAGATGAGGTCACCCAGGATGAGAGCTCCTTCGTGGTTGGCTCCAGTACATTTTTTAAGCTCCTCCCCCTCCATGTAAACCAATAGGACATTTTCACACTAAAAATAAAAATGCACCTCCAGACCCTTTTTTATATTTCTGTTTTATGTAGCTCTGATCTTGCTGTTTCTTCAAATATGTACTTTTTAATTACATTTAGTTTAAATTAGTTTTTTGAGACTTATTGCAACGTGTCATGTTCCACTGTGATTGACAGCCTGTTGGTGAGTTGGGAGGGTGTGAAGGCAAGAGCTTTGAGGGTACAGCCCCACACCCTGAGTGAGAAGACAAAAAATACAAAGAGGCATCTCCTCAGAAAACGGACAGTTTGGCTTCAATGCATGAGAGAAGGTGGACACGCTTGGTCCATCTTTACTAATGCTGGTGATTCCAGTCCTAACTCACGTCGCTCTGTTGGTGTGTTCAGATGTTCTTTCTCTCGGACTATACATGTTTTCCTTTATTTTATCTTCTGACCATTCAAAGCACCTCCAGGTGATGGTCCGAAGTACCCCAAACGTGCAGGAAAACAAGGAAAACAGAAGGAAAGAGCCAAGGGGACAAACTGGGATTGGGTTTCATCTGTCTCCAATTCACCAGCACAACTATAAGTGCTACAAACACATGAGTTTGGATCATTTTCCTGGATTTGAGGGATTTTACTGGTTGTTCAAACACGTGCAAATGAAACCAATAAAGTGTTGATAGTGGAGCTTTAGTTTTAAAACCATGAAGCAAATTAAATGAACTGACATTTCAAGACAAGTTCGAGATGTTTCCTGTCCTCCAACCAGCACCCACCCCTGACTCACCTGAGGTCCATGTCTCCGTCCAGCCAGTAGCAGATAATGTTGGAGCTGGAACCCCCGGGACAGCAGCCCATGATGATGATGACGACGGCCTGCACAGGCAGAACGTTGAAGGCTAAAGACAGGGCAAAGGCTGTGAAGGGCATGATGCCAAACTGGCAGAGGAAGCCGATGACGATGCCCCAGGGTCTCCTGATGTGGCCCCACAGCTTCTTGTAGTCCACGGTGCAGCCCATGGCGAACATGACCATGGCCAGCATCACGGTGAGCACCGTGCTCAGGACCAGGCTCAGGATGGCGTTGAAGTTACTTGGAGGGACGAGGCAGTTTTCACCTGAGCAGACCGTGGCCTCAGGGTAACAGGTCAGAGGGACCGATGTTGTTGCCTTCAGACCTGACATCATGGACATCATTTCAGACAGCGAGGACTTTTAAAGTCTTTAGATCCCACACGCCGACGCCACAGTGTCCTTGTCTGAGAGGATGACGGAGACAGAGTGAGCAAGAGTCCGACTCGATAGTCTTTATGCCCCACACAACTGGAGTAAAAAAAAAAAAAAAAAAAAAAAAAAACACACCAGGGCGGGAGAATCAGGTGAGGAAGAAGAATCAAAAATTAACCAATACTTGATGTTTTATGGGGTCAGTGTCCAGAGACGCATGCATATACAGTAAAAGAAAATCTAGCTGAAAGAAGGTGATTACTCTGCGGTTCCAGCCTTTACAGCCTCCGAGGTATTAAAACTTTATTGGTCAGGAATGCTGTGAATCGCCTTCATCATCATCACCATCATCATCAGTGTTCACTGCCAGCAGGGAGGAAAGATGCTGCACGTTACGTACAGCCAATCTCTGTAAAATCTGCTGCTTTGGCTTCTTTTATTGGGTTCTGGAACAATAACTTACTCACTGGGTGGAGGGAGAGCTGTACAGTCATCCTGAGGAGTCCTCAAAGCAGAAAAAGAAGCATGTTTCATTAAAAGCTGCACGTCTGGTTCAAGAAACAAACTGCAAGTCCTTCAGATGATAAGGCGTGACCGTTTGGCACAGAACATGATTTATTTTTATCAGGTTTTTTGTTTTAATTTGTACGACGAAGGATTAAAGTGTTCCAGCTGCTTCTTAAATCAAAGAGGGGCATTTCTACAGCCAGTGTTGTATTCTGTTATTTATTTTTTTTTTTTTTCTGATTTGTTTAATATTTTTTTGACTAAAAATGATAAAAATATGGGATTCTATAGAAAACGGTTGATTTTTATTTAATGTTTTTGTTGCAAACTGTAAATCTAAGACTTCCTTGTTTGGGTTTTTGTGAACTTGTTTTATTTCTAAAACAAATAAAAATCGTCCACGTTTCAAAATAAAAGTCTTTTTCCTTGAAGGAATGCCTCGTGTTTTATTCAGATATCTTGTTGTGAACGACTCTCAGCTACCACCGCACCAAACTTTAGCTCAATATTTGTGAAAAGTGAGTTTTAATCATTTTTGTGTTTCCTGCGGTTGATTAGCTGTGGCGGCCACCTTAAATGACTTCAAGCGTTCGTCAGTGCGTACATCAAATGATCCAGTTCTGGGAGTTTCAGCAAAATCTGTGCAGGTTTATAAAATTTATTTGCTACCAGACAAAGAAAGAGGCACAAACACACAATTGCCCACGGTAGGTGGGTAAAAGAAAGTGGGACAGGGAGTGTTAAAGGCCAGAAATTAGGTTCAAAACATTAAAATATTAAAGAACGGCCCTTAAAGAAAACCTGAAAGGATATTCTGCCTCGGCTGACAGAACCACAGAGACCCACACAGGCTGCAGGCTGTCTGCACAGTAAGTTCAACAAAGAAATGATCCGGATGAAACGTGTGAACCAGCTGAGAGGGACGAGTCAGGAACACACGGCGCCAACCGAAGACAGGTCTCTGCTGCAGTGGTGGACAGGGAGAAAGAAGGGCGACACCTCTACCCCACCTCTCGTTAAGTTCTGGCACCAGGTCCGTTTACTGACCAGGACCAGGTTGATTAACTTATTCACCCTTTCGATTATCAGTCAATGAAGTCAAATTCATTAATTACATGGGACTCTTTATTATAACAAACAAATATTCATTCAAAATGAGGAAGAGAGAATTTCTCTTTTGAAATTTTATTACAAAAACAATCAAATCTGGTTAGAATCATCAACACAAGAATAAACATTTAAAACACAACTAACAGTAAGACTTTGGAACCACTAGCTTTAAGAAGTGGTTATTCAAATTATTATAAATTAAAATTGATTATTATTGTTCTCATTTCTCCACCAGCTCATGATCCATCCATCTCAATGATGGTTTGATGGTTTTTAATGATATTTACCTAGCCACAGATGCAGGTGACTCTGTGCTTCTTGTCCTATTGGACCTCACATCTGTTTTTGACACCATCGGCCATGAGATCATTTCTAGGCTGGAGCAGTGGGTGGGCTCACAGGGTCAGCCCTCAAATGGTTTAGGTCCTACCTCTCCGACAGAACCTTTTGTGTCAACATCAAGGATTTTATTTCAACATCGGCAGCTCTTCGGTGGGGGGTACCGCAGGGGTACATCCTCGGTCCTCTTCTCTTTTCTTTATGCCTGCCTTCACTTGGTGCTATTTTTTGTAAACATGGCATACCTTTTCATGTTTTATGCTACTGACTGTCAAATTTACTTCCCTCTGAAGCACACTGGTACACGCTCTATCTAACCTCTTCTTGACTGCCTGATTGACATCAGGAATTGGACGGCTTTAAATTTCTTAAACTTTAATGAGAAGAAGACAGAAGTCATGTTGTTTCCACCTAATGGCACAATCAAGAACCACTGTATCAACCTTTCCTGTCTATCCTCATTAGAGAAACAAAGAGTCACTAATCTGGGAGTGAAAATGGACCCTTCCATGAAACTAAACAATCACGTAAACGTGATTGTTAAATCCTGTTTTTTTTTCAGTTGAGGCAACAGGCAAAATGTTAGGTTGGCCTTGTTGCTGTTTTTAAGTGCTTTATAAATAAAGTGGTATGGTATTAATTACTCACTTGATGTTTTATCACTCTAAAATAAAGCAATAATTAATCAAGAAAATAATTATTTGGACATACTGATTTGGGTTTTAATCTGTGCAGGAATTTAGACAAAGTTGAACTATTTGATGAATAGTTCAACTTTATGTCAGATTGTAAACATGACTGCAGGTGGAAAGGTTTTTATGAAGTAGCATAAAATGTTTGACCAAAGATGTTTTATTTATTTATTTAATCAAAAGCTTCAAAGAACTGTGTAAGCATTTATTCATCTAATTAAGCGTCCATGGACCAGACATTATTCCCGTCAGAAGGAGCTTTAAAGAAACGGTTCTGAAAGACGACCTCAGGGTCAAAGGTCACAGTCAGCAGAGGCCATCTTCATGCCACGCTGTAAACCTTCGTTTCATTTTGTCCTTAAAATAAAATCTAAACGTCAAGATCTCCGTTTTATTTGCACCTTTAATTCGTCTCATCCTAGAGGAATAAAAGATCAAAAGGAGATTTATAGCCTTTTACGTCGGAAAGCTGCACACGCCGGGTGTGGCGACAATAAACTTGATAAAATGGTTTTACAGTTAAAAGAACAAATCTGTACTCTGGTCTGTAATTATTCTAATAAAATGTCTTGAGGAAAGAGTGAAGAAAAGTCTGTTGTCCTCTCAAAACAGTAATCTCCAACGCTTAAGTTAAAGGACAACCAGCCATCCAACTGAATAATCTCACAAAATAAAAAACTTCTGTCATCGTTTAACACAGAAACAAATGAACTGCAGGGACGAGTGAGAAGGAACTTTTAGTTTTCTTGATTCAGCCGTGAAGCACAACGTTGCATCTAAAAAGCACTAAATGTGAAGATGATTATGGTAGCTAAAATTTTACTAAAATGAGCTAAACTGGTTCTAAAGCCACAATCAACAAGAGTAGCTAAAGTAGCAAAAACATAGCTAAAAGCTAAAGTCAACAAAACACTAGCTAAAAACAGCAAAACAAATACTACAACTGGAAGAAGCAAAATAGGGGAAAGAAGCTAAATGGTAGCTAAATTGGAGGTAAAATAGACAAAAGTATCAGTCAGTAGCTGAAGCAGATTTCAAAGGAAACATTTTTTTATATTTCTGTGGGAATTTAATTAAAATTAAGACAAAAGTTGAACTGTGGTGAAGAGGGAGCTGAGCTGCAAGGAGAAGTTTTGTTTATTGGTCAGTCAATGTTCCCACCCTCACCTCTGGTCCTGAACTCTGGGTAGAGACTGAACCAGATCCTGGATCTAGGAGGTCTAAATGCAGGTCTCTGCAGGGTAGCTAGACTCTCTCTTAGAAACAGGATGAGAGGTTCAGTTCTCCAGGAGAGACTCTGAGGAAAATTGCTGCTCCTCCACATCCAGTGGAGACAGCTGAGGAGGTTCAAACATCTGGTAAGGATGGACCCTGAACACCTCCATAAGGAGGTGTTCTGGACATGTCCAACTGAGAGGAAGACCCAGGACACACTGGAGAGACTGGGAACATCTTGGAGTCCTCCCAGAAGAGGTGGCTGTGGAGAGGGAGGTTTGGACCTCCCTGCTCAAACTGCTGCCCCTGAGTCCAGAACCAGAGGATGGATGATGGATGGATGGAAAGACGGAAGGATGGATGGATGGACAGACAGATGAATAGATGAACAGATGGATGGATGGACAGACGGATGTATGTATATATGGATGGACAGACAGATTGATGGCTAGATGGATGGACGGACAGATGGATGGACAGGTAGACAGA